GATTGTGATCGGAGGGCAGGTGCTGGAGGTGACAGTGGATGGTCGGTTTCAGTCTGATGCCTGAGCGCAGCACCTCCCTTATGCCTCCCCCACAATCTTGTGTGCAGGTGCATCAGATTCTGAACGAGATTGTGATCGGAGGGCAGGTGCTGGAGGTGACAGTGGATGGTCGGTTTCAGTCTGATGCCTGAGCGCAGCACCTCCCTTATGCCTCCCCCACAATCTTGTGTGCAGGTGCATCAGATTCTGAACGAGATTGTGATCGGAGGGCAGGTGCTGGAGGTGACAGTGGATGGTCGGTTTCAGTCTGATGCCTGAGCGCAGCACCTCCCTTATGCCTCCCCCACAATCTTGTGTGCAGGTGCATCAGATTCTGAACGAGATTGTGATCGGAGGGCAGGTGCTGGAGGTGACAGTGGATGGTCGGTTTCAGTCTGATGCCTGAGCGCAGCACCTCCCTTATGCCTCCCCCACAATCTTGTGTGCAGGTGCATCAGATTCTGAACGAGATTGTGATCGGAGGGCAGGTGCTGGAGGTGACAGTGGATGGTCGGTTTCAGTCTGATGCCTGAGCGCAGCACCTCCCTTATGCCTCCCCCACAATCTTGTGTGCAGGTGCATCAGATTCTGAACGAGATTGTGATCGGAGGGCAGGTGCTGGAGGTGACAGTGGATGGTCGGTTTCAGTCTGATGCCTGAGCGCAGCACCTCCCTTATGCCTCCCCCACAATCTTGTGTGCAGGTGCATCAGATTCTGAACGAGATTGTGATCGGAGGGCAGGTGCTGGAGGTGACAGTGGATGGTCGGTTTCAGTCTGATGCCTGAGCGCAGCACCTCCCTTATGCCTCCCCCACAATCTTGTGTGCAGGTGCATCAGATTCTGAACGAGATTGTGATCGGAGGGCAGGTGCTGGAGGTGACAGTGGATGGTCGGTTTCAGTCTGATGCCTGAGCGCAGCACCTCCCTTATGCCTCCCCCACAATCTTGTGTGCAGGTGCATCAGATTCTGAACGAGATTGTGATCGGAGGGCAGGTGCTGGAGGTGACAGTGGATGGTCGGTTTCAGTCTGATGCCTGAGCGCAGCACCTCCCTTATGCCTCCCCCACAATCTTGTGTGCAGGTGCATCAGATTCTGAACGAGATTGTGATCGGAGGGCAGGTGCTGGAGGTGACAGTGGATGGTCGGTTTCAGTCTGATGCCTGAGCGCAGCACCTCCCTTATGCCTCCCCCACAATCTTGTGTGCAGGTGCATCAGATTCTGAACGAGATTGTGATCGGAGGGCAGGTGCTGGAGGTGACAGTGGATGGTCGGTTTCAGTCTGATGCCTGAGCGCAGCACCTCCCTTATGCCTCCCCCACAATCTTGTGTGCAGGTGCATCAGATTCTGAACGAGATTGTGATCGGAGGGCAGGTGCTGGAGGTGACAGTGGATGGTCGGTTTCAGTCTGATGCCTGAGCGCAGCACCTCCCTTATGCCTCCCCCACAATCTTGTGTGCAGGTGCATCAGATTCTGAACGAGATTGTGATCGGAGGGCAGGTGCTGGAGGTGACAGTGGATGGTCGGTTTCAGTCTGATGCCTGAGCGCAGCACCTCCCTTATGCCTCCCCCACAATCTTGTGTGCAGGTGCATCAGATTCTGAACGAGATTGTGATCGGAGGGCAGGTGCTGGAGGTGACAGTGGATGGTCGGTTTCAGTCTGATGCCTGAGCGCAGCACCTCCCTTATGCCTCCCCCACAATCTTGTGTGCAGGTGCATCAGATTCTGAACGAGATTGTGATCGGAGGGCAGGTGCTGGAGGTGACAGTGGATGGTCGGTTTCAGTCTGATGCCTGAGCGCAGCACCTCCCTTATGCCTCCCCCACAATCTTGTGTGCAGGTGCATCAGATTCTGAACGAGATTGTGATCGGAGGGCAGGTGCTGGAGGTGACAGTGGATGGTCGGTTTCAGTCTGATGCCTGAGCGCAGCACCTCCCTTATGCCTCCCCCACAATCTTGTGTGCAGGTGCATCAGATTCTGAACGAGATTGTGATCGGAGGGCAGGTGCTGGAGGTGACAGTGGATGGTCGGTTTCAGTCTGATGCCTGAGCGCAGCACCTCCCTTATGCCTCCCCCACAATCTTGTGTGCAGGTGCATCAGATTCTGAACGAGATTGTGATCGGAGAGCAGGTGCTGGAGGTGACAGTGGATGGTCGGTTTCAGTCTGATGCCTGAGCGCAGCACCTCCCTTATGCCTCCCCCACAATCTTGTGTGCAGGTGCATCAGATTCTGAACGAGATTGTGATCGGAGGGCAGGTGCTGGAGGTGACAGTGGATGGTCGGTTTCAGTCTGATGCCTGAGCGCAGCACCTCCCTTATGCCTCCCCCACAATCTTGTGTGCAGGTGCATCAGATTCTGAACGAGATTGTGATCGGAGGGCAGGTGCTGGAGGTGACAGTGGATGGTCGGTTTCAGTCTGATGCCTGAGCGCAGCACCTCCCTTATGCCTCCCCCACAATCTTGTGTGCAGGTGCATCAGATTCTGAACGAGATTGTGATCGGAGGGCAGGTGCTGGAGGTGACAGTGGATGGTCGGTTTCAGTCTGATGCCTGAGCGCAGCACCTCCCTTATGCCTCCCCCACAATCTTGTGTGCAGGTGCATCAGATTCTGAACGAGATTGTGATCGGAGGGCAGGTGCTGGAGGTGACAGTGGATGGTCGGTTTCAGTCTGATGCCTGAGCGCAGCACCTCCCTTATGCCTCCCCCACAATCTTGTGTGCAGGTGCATCAGATTCTGAACGAGATTGTGATCGGAGGGCAGGTGCTGGAGGTGACAGTGGATGGTCGGTTTCAGTCTGATGCCTGAGCGCAGCACCTCCCTTATGCCTCCCCCACAATCTTGTGTGCAGGTGCATCAGATTCTGAACGAGATTGTGATCGGAGGGCAGGTGCTGGAGGTGACAGTAGATGAAGTGCATCGAGCTGTGCAGGAGATAGAAAGGTGAGAATGAGATGAAGGGGAGATTGAGAGCAGGGGTTGGGGGGATATGGAGTGTCTAAGGTGGTGGACTACATGGATTTTAAGGCACGGCATAGGTGCTAGAGGTGACAGTGGATGAGGTGCATCGAGCGGTGCAGGAGATAGAGAGGTGGGTGAGGGGGGTGGAGGGGAGAGGAAGGAAGTGCTGACAAGAGATGATTGTGATCGGAGGGCAGGTGCTAGAGGTGACAGTGGATGAGGTGCATCGAGCGGTGCAGGAGATAGAGAGGTGAGTGTGAGGGGTGGGTATAGGGTGTGTAGGTAGGGAAAACGGGGATTGCCAGGCGTCACATAAATGCTGGAGGTGACAGTGGATGAAGTGCAGGAGATAGAGAGGCGAAGGAGAGAGGGGGAGAGCAAGGGAGTGAGCGACTGGTTCTCAACACTCACAAGAGAAAGTGCAAGAGGTACACGGGCTGGTTGGCTTTGGAGAAGGATTGAAGGGATGCTCGGTACACGTTGAAGGGATGCTCGGTACACATTGAAGGGATGCTCGGTACACATTGAAGGGATGCTCGGTACACATTGAAGGGATGCTCAGTACACATTGAAGGGATGCTTGGTACACATTGAAGGGATGCTCGGTACACATTGAAGGGATGCTCGGTACACATTGAAGGGATTCTCGGTACACATTGAAGGGATGCTCGGTACACATTGAAGGGATGCTCGGTACACATTGAAGGGATGCTCGGTACACCGTACATGTGTGCTGGTGGTTTGTTTTGTTACTTTCCGAGTGATCCAAAAGTCATGAGGGCTTGAAGAGGTGCTCAGTACATGTGTGTGTGTGTGTGTGTGTGTGTGTGTGTGTGTGTGTGTGTGTGTGTTTTTGTTTTATGCATCACCAGCACAGCTGTACCTGTATGTGACTGCACACCCCGCTGAGTTCATTATCCTCCACTTGCCTTTCATTCACCCACTCCCTCCCTCCCTGGAGCACAAGCCAGACACACCAGCAACGCAGCTGCACCTAAAGGTCGCCCCAGCCATGTGTGCACACTCCTCCAAGTTGATCCATTTTTTTTTTAGACGTCTCATAAGAGTTTTGAGACGTCTCAAAACGCAGCTGCACCTAAGGGGCGCCCCAGCACACTCCTCCGAGCTGATTTCTTCTCCTTCTGCCTTGCATTCACCTCCTCCCTCCCTGTCTCACAGGCTTGAGCGGAAGCCAGACACGCCAGCAACACAGCTGCGGCCCAGGGGCGCTCCTCTGCTCTCTTGATTTCATTGCTGAAGGGACATATCTTGCTGACCCCACTGCCTCGGCTCTCACAAGATTTATGACTTGCCTATTCAAGACAGCAGTGCCTGGGGTATGGTGGACAATCTGGTGATTTGTGTGAAGGCAAAATCTGAGCCTCACGGTAATCAGAATGGCTCAAACACGCATATGTTCGAAAATTGATTCTATTTGATCAGGAGGCGTTGGGCACAACGAATCAGCAACAACGGTAGGCAGAGCGGATAAAGTTAAATCGCTCTGTGATATTTACACATAGAGCCTTAAGAGGTACGGTAATATTATAGTTCTTTTACCTTCTATTAGCATTCTTTAATGCGGGCTTTACTCTAGCGAGTACGTTGCGGAGGTTCTCGCGTAAGTGGGTTCGGCGTACATTTTCGTTCCGAACCACTTCCGAGTCGCCACCGCACATTTCACCACCTTTCCGAGCCTCGCTTACCCCGAGGTTCTCGCCTCGATTATGCCTATTTTTAACCTCGTTATTCTTCCATTCAGTACTATCTCATTCTTTCTGCCCATGCCTTTGTGATATACTTATCATAAAATGGCACATCAACTTTCCAACAAGTACCTCTTTATGCGTTAGTAAGCACCTCGCTGACACTGCGACGGTTGGCTGTGGTCATTCTGTTGCTTAGTGCGACATTAGCGGGGAAACTTAAATGGATGATGCTGAAATGAACGGTAACGGGGGAGTTGAGATGAACGGTCAGGATGAACGTATGGCTGACGTCAACGGCTTAGATGCAGCTGAGACAAGGAAAGAGGAGATAGAACCTGCTCGTAGAGGCGCTGGCGAAATTGACCCAGGTAACACTGGCGAAACGGGTCCTATTAATGCTGGCGAAATGGACCCTAGTAACACCGGCGAACCTGACCCAGGTAGCATTGCAGTGCTGAAAACAGTTGACGAAAGCGTCAGGACGGCGCGCGAGGCTGAAACGAAGGGGGGTGACGAAACTAGGGACGACGGGAGAATCGAGGCAGGAGCGGAAGCAGAACGAGGTGAGAGGAAATCAGCGGGAAGAAGGGGAGAAGAGAGGGAAGCTGGGGAAGAGGAGGGGAGTGAGGAGAGGCAGGGCGAAAGCACTCCTAGAAGAGACGCTGGGGTTGAAGGACAAGAGGAAGGGAAGCAGCAGCAGGACGGAGAGCAGCAGGAGAAAGACAAAAAGCAGGACCAAGAGGAGGAGGAGAAGGAGGAGCAGGAGGAGCAGGAGCAGCAGGAGGGGCAGGAGCAGGAGGAGGATGAGGATGAGGAGGAAGAGAAAGAAAAGCAGCAGCTAGTGGGCGCTAGGGAGAGCAGTAGGAAGGGCGACAGGGACGGCGGCGGCGGCAGCGGAGTGAAGCGGGGGCTGCGGTCAGTGATGGCAGGGCGGTTTCAGCATTACTCCGCGCTCAAGAGCAAGCGCCGGCGGCGGCTGGAGCAGAGGAGCTTCCAGGAGTTCTTTCTTGCAGGTGGGGAGGAGGAGGGGGAGGGGGAGGCGGGGGGAGGGGAGGCTGAGAGGGGGGATGTGGAGGGGGTGGGTTTGGGAGAGGGGGATGGAGAATTAATGGGAGATGGGGAGGGGGATGGAGTTGCTGTGGGGGAGGATGAAGGGGATGGGGACGGGGGGAGTGAGAGTGATGGGGTGGAGGAGGTAGAGCAGGAGGAGGGAGAGGAGGGCGAGGGGGGGGAGGAGGAGAAGAAGGAGGAGATGAAAGAAAGCGGAGCTCTAGAGGGACAGAGGAAAGAGGAAGGGGATGAGGAAGGGGATGAGGAAGGGCGGTTGGAGCAAGAGAGGGACGGGATGGTTGAGGTAGCTGATAAGGGTTTGGAAACAACAGAGAGTGGAGCGGATAAGATAAGAGGCTCTCTGAAAGCCGTTGTGGGGAAAAGGGAAGAGAAAAGGCGAGAGAGGGAAGTGAGGCCACAGCCGGTGGTGGAGGAAGAGAAAGGCGAGGGGCAGAGGACGCTGCGAAGGAGAGAACAACCGAAACGAAGCCAGCAGAGCACGCAACGGCAGCAACAGCAGCAGCAGCAGCCACAGAAGCAGCAGAGGCGGCAGGGGAAGAATCAAAAGGCCAAAGCAAAGCAGGCAGCGGCAAAAGCAAAGGCAGGGCGGGCAGCAGCAGCGAAGGCAAAGCGGGAGGCGGAGAGGCAGGAGGAGCACGATGCAGAGGTGGCACGGGCTGTAGGGTTCCCACCGGACAGCCTGAGGGAGGATGAGGAGGAGGCGGGTGTGGTGCACAGTGGCACGGGGGGCAGTGGGGAAGAGGGCGTGTATGTGCGCATGCGAAACCGTATTCTTGCTTTATGGCGGCGGAATGTGAACGGGTGGATACACGAGGACAAGGTAAGGAGGGCCCAGGGGGAGAGGGAGGCAGGTGGGCTTGGGAAGAGGGAGTGGGGAAGAGAGCATGTGTATGTATGTGCGAGTGAATGGGGCCGTGGGTGTCCCCCCTGACCCCCGGACAGCCTGAGGGAGGATGAGGAGGAGGCGGGTGTTGTGCGCAGTGGCACGGGCGGTAGTGGGGAGGAGGGTGTGTATGTGCGCATGCGGAACCGTATTCTTGCTCTGTGGAGGCGGAATGTGAGCGGGTGGATACATGAGGACAAGGTAGGGAAGGAGAGAAAGATAGAGATAGCGAGAGATCGCTGGCAGTGGGGAAGAGGGCATGCATGTGCGCATGAGAAACCATATTCTGGTGCTCTGGACTCTGGAGGCGGAATGTGAACGGATGCATACACGAGGACAAGGTAAGTCAAGAGAAAGGTGGGGATGGGGGAGTGGCAAAGAACGTGAGGGAGTGTGTCCATTTCCCCCCATCCCCCAAACGCTCCTCTCGCTTTTTTTCCCCTCTCCTATCCCGCGTCTCCAGCTAATAAGCAGCACACCAGCACACGAGCGAGAGGCCACAAGAGCAGCCTTCGCCTTTCTGCACCTGCGTGGCTTCATCAACTGGGGCCTCCGACTCTTTCTTGCGTATCCCTCCCCCTCCCCTATCCCGCTTCTCCAGCTAATAAGCAGCACACCGGCACACGAGAGAGAGGCCACAATAGCAGCCTTCACCTTTCTGCACCTGTGTGGCTTCATCAACTGGGGTCTCTGTCTCTCCCTCGCTCCCTCCTTCCCCCTTTTTCTCCCTGTGCAGCTACTAAGCAGCACACCAGGAGCCGAACGGGAAGCAACAAGAGCAGCCTTCACCTTTCTGCACCTGCGCGGATTCATCAACTGGGGTCTCTCGCGCACGGCCACTGCTGCCATCCCTCGCCGCCCCTCCCTGCCCCACGTCATCGTTCTCGGTGCTGGGCTAGCAGGCCTTGCAGCAGCGCGCCAGTTGATGGTTCTCGGGCATCGGTGAGTGCTGTGGTTGAGTGGGTCTTTGAGCCGCCCCTCCCTGCCCCACATCATTGTTCTTGGCGCCGGCCTTGCAGGCCTGGCTGCAGCTCACCAATTACTGGCCCTGGGCCACCGGTGAGTGCTGTGAGTGATGTGAGTGATGCGAGTGATGTGAGTGTGCTGGCTGAGGCGCTTAACATCAACTGGGTGGAGTCTGTCTCTCGCGCACGGCCACTGCCGCCATCCCTCGCCGCCCCTCCCTGCCCCACGTCATCGTGCTCTTCGCTGGTCTTGCAGGCCTGGCAGCAGCGCACCAACTACTAGCCCTGGGCCACCGGTGAGTGCTGCGGTTGAGTGCGGTTTTGAGGCGCTTAAACTAACACTAATTGGGGCCTCCCTCATACGGCCGTCAGCCAGTGCCTCCATTCCTTGCCCACTAAAAAAGCTCGCAACCGGCACTCTTATCTTGGATGCTCTCTTTCTCCCCTACCCTCTTGCCCTGTCCACCACTTGATCTGTTCCCACCCACCAGTGTGACAGTGATAGAGGCTCGCAACCGGCCCGGAGGGCGAATGCACTCCAAACTGCTCTCCTCGCCTCCAGGCCCCAACCAGGTGGGTCAGCATGTGGTGACGACATATTTTGCAGGTGGCATGTGGTGCAGGTGGCATGTGGTGCAGAGGGCACGTGGTGAAGGTGGCATTCTTTGAAACCCACTCCATTTTCATGCCTTGGCTTCTCAGCACGCCCTGAACCGCATTCGTCAACTTCCCAAATTAACACCCTCTCGTCCCCACTTTCTCTCCCCTATTTCATCGTTTCTCCTCTCCCTCATCCCCCCCCACTCCTCCAGGTAGCAGTGGCAGCGGAACTGGGCGTCACAGGCATCCTCGGCTGGGCGCCTTGGCTCGTCAGCTCGCCATCTCTCTGCCCCGCATTTAACTCCCGCACCCTCTGCTCTCCCCTTGTTCACCGTGTTTCTCCTCTTCCCTCTCCCTTCCACCCCTTCCAGGTGGCAGTGGCAGCAGAACTAGGCGGGTCAATCGTCACAGGCATTCTCGGCAACCCTCTGGGCGTCCTAGCCCGTCAGCTCGCCATCCCTCTGCACCGCTCTGCATCCATTGCGCCTGCCCTCTGTCCCCCCCTGTGCCTCCCACCAGGTGGCAGTGGCAGCAGAGCTAGGCGGGTCAATCGTCACAGGCATACTCGGCAACCCTCTAGGAGTCCTGGCTCGTCAGCTCGCCACTACATTCATCACCCACCAACATTCCTTTCATTTCCAACCTTTTTTTCCTCTCCACTTGCCTTCCCCCTTTCCAGGTAGCAGTGGCAGCAGAACTAGGTGGATCGATTGTCACAGGCATTCTCGGCAACCCTCTGGGTGTCTTGGCTTGCCAGCTCGCCATCCTTCTGCACCGCATTCATAACCCCCCCCCCCCCATACCCGCTTCTTCTCCACCTCCCCTGCCCCCAGGTGGCAGTAGCAGCAGAGCTAGGCGGTTCTATTGTCACAGGCATTCTCGGCAACCCTCTGGGCGTCCTAGCTCGCCAGCTCGCCATCCCTCTGCACCGCATTCGCGACGCCTGCCCACTCTACCGCCCGGACGGGCTGCCTGTGGACGAAAAAGCTGACCGGGTGGCAGAGGCAAGATTCAACGTGATGCTGGATCTAGCTTCGGAAAGGAGGGGGGAGATGGAGGGGGTGGCAGATCAGATCTCCCTTGGGAATACCATGGAGTTTGTACGGCAGCAAGCAGTGCAGGCTGTATCTGCGGAAGGTGGGAGTGGTGGCGAGGGAGGGGGGGATGTAGGAGGTTTGGGGCGTGAGGGTGGAAAGGTTAGCATGGGGGCAGAAAGTGAGGCAGGAGCAGCAGCAGTAGCAGCAGGAGCAGCAGTAGCAGCACAACCAGCCACAGTGCAAGAGTCAGAAGAAGAGAAGCAGCTAGTGCAGTGGCACTACGCGAACCTCGAGTTCGCCAATGCAGCACGAGTAGCCGACCTCTCTCTGGCCTTCTGGGACCAGGACGACCCCCACGAGCTGCTGGGCCACCACTGCTTCGTGGCTGGGAGGAACGGGCAGCTTGTGGATGCCCTCGCGGACGGGCTGCCCGTGGTGTATAACTGTGCGGTGGAGAGGGTTGAGTATGGGGTAGGGAGGGGTCGAGAAGGGGACGAGCCGGTTCCAGCAGAGGCAGGAGTAGGAGGAGTAGCAGGAGGAAGAGACGGGGGAGGAGGCAGAGGAGGGGGAGGAGCGGGAGAGGAAGTGGGAGCGGAGGGGAGAGTGGCGGTAGGGGGAGTGAGGGTGGTGTGCAGGGACACGAGGAGTGGGGAGGAGGTGGAGTATGAGGGAGAGCATGTGCTCTGCACGCTGCCTCTGGGAGTGCTGCAGAGGGGGTCTGTGTCCTTCCACCCGCTCCTGCCTCTCAGGAAGACTCGCGCCATCCACAGGCTGGGGTTTGGGCTGTTGAATAAGGTCGGGCTGGTGTGATGTGGTGTGGTGTAGTGTGGTATAGTGTGGTGTGCTGTGGTGTGTTTGCACGCTATCGGGCAGCTGTTCGTCACACACACACACCTTCCCCGTCTCAACTCAAGTGGCAATGCTCTGCCTGTACATCTTCCCATTAGCCGCCTCACCTTTGGCCGCCTCACCTTTGGCCGCCTCACCTTTGGCCGCCTCACCTGTGGCTGCCTCACCTGTGGCCGCCTCACCTGTGGCCGCCTCACCTGTGGCCGCCTCACCTGTGGCCGCCTCACCTGTGGCCGCCTCACCTGTGGCCGCCTCACCTGTGGCCGCCTCACCTGTGGCCGCCTCACCTGTGGCCGCCTCTCCTTGTCAGCACAGTATAAACAACCCTCCTCTCCTCTCCCATCTCCTCCCCGCCTCTTCTCGCTTCTCCCCTCTCCTCTCCCATCTCCTCCTGTTTATCGTTGCAGGTCGCCATGCTCTTCCCGTATGCCTTTTGGCACACCGCCACTGACACATTTGGTCGCCTCACTTCTTCAGCACACCGCAAGCCCCACTTCTCCCAATTTCTCACTCCTCCCCTCTCTCCCCCTTCCGTAACGCAGGTGGCAATGCTCTTCCCCTACGTCTTCTGGGACACCACAATCGACACCTTTGGTCGCCTCACATCGCACCCCTCACAGCGCGGCGAGTTCTTCCTCTTCTACTCCTACGCTGCTGTCTCTGGCGGCGCTCTGCTCATGGCGCTTGTTGCAGGGGAGGCAGCAGAGAAATTCGAAGGGGAGAAGTCAGATGCACTCATGTGGCGCGTACTCACAGTGCTCAAGAGTGAGTGAATTGCTAGGGGCTCCTTTCCCTTGGGATACCTTCTCCTCACATCGCTCGCACCCCTCACAGCGCGGCGAGCTCTTCCTCTTCTACTCCTACGCTGCTGTCTCGGGCGGCGCTCTGCTCATAACCGTGCCACACCCTCCGCAATGGGTGTGCACGTGGTGGCGCAGTGATCCGTATGTCAGGGGTTCGTGCTCGTATGTGCGCGTGGCGGCATTGGTGGACGCCTTGAATCAGTTGATTTTTCAAACCTTCTTCCCTGTTACCCCTCCACTCTCCCCTCGCCCTTCCGCCCTTTTCTTTCTTTTAGAAATCCACGAGCCCAAGGGCATACCCGTGCCACACCCCCTCCAGTGTGTGTGCACGCGGTGACGCAGTGACCCGTACCCTCATGAGTCAACTCAACCTTCCAACCTTCTTCCCTTGCCATTTCTCATCAGAAATCCACGAGCCCAAGGGCATAGCAGTGCCGCACCCCTTACAGTGTGTGTGCACGCGGTGGCGCAGCGATCCGTATGCGGGAGGTTCGTACTCGTATGTGCGTGTGGCGGCATCGGGGGATGACTATGATACACTGGCAGAGAGCGTGGATGGGCGGCTGTTTTTCGCTGGCGAGGTGAGATTGTGAGAGAGATTGTGGTGAGATGCATCATATAGAAAAGGGTCTTTCCCATGTGGTGGCATGGGGGGTAATTACAACACTCTGGCTGAGAGTGTGGACCGACGCTGTGCTTTGCGGGTGAGGGCTTGGAGTGAGACTATGGTGAGATTGTGGTCACATCGCGGGTGCAAAGAATTGGTATTTTGAGATGGCGTGCGATTGTGAGTGCTTTTTGTCGTGTGGGGTATTGTACGCTTCTCGTTCTCGCACACGTTCACCTCTGCACACGCCCTCACACTCATACCCGAACTTCCTCTCTCTTCTCCTCCCTTCAGGCTACGAGTTGCCACTACATGCACACACGATCCCTCCCCCCTTTTCACTCCCTCACATCCGCACAGGTGCACCCTCTCACATTCATATATTAACTCTCTTTCTCTTCCTCTCCCCTTTCAGGCCACGAGTCGTCACTACCCCGCCACCATGCATGGAGCCTGCTTCAGCGGCCTGAGAGAAGCAGCTAAGATCAACCAAGTTGCCACGGCCGCTGAAGCATGCTCACTCCGCAGAATCACCCACATCCGAGTGTGCATATGCCCTCATACTCCCTGCACCTTTCGCCCTCTTCCTCTCCCCTTTCAGGCCACGAGTCGTCACTACCCCGCCACCATGCATGGAGCCTGCTTCAGCGGCCTGAGAGAAGCAGCTAAGATCAACCAAGTTGCCACGGCCGCTGAAGCATGCTCACTCCGCAGAATCACCCACATCCGAGTGTGCATATGCCCTCATACTCCCTGCACCTTTCGCCCTCTTCCTCTCCCCTTCAGGCCACGAGTCGCCACTACCCCGCAACCATGCATGGAGCCTGTTTCAGCGGCCTCAGAGAAGCAGCCAAGATCAACCAAGTTGCCACGGCCGCTGAAGCAGCCCGGGCAGCTGAAGCATCTTGGGCAGCCAAAACATCCCGGGCAGCACAAACTGCAGCTGCTGCCAGCAGTGCTGGCACCACCACCACAGGGCAAAGCACACTCGTGACCACAGCTGCTGCAGGATTGTCAACAGGTATAGAAGCCGCAGCGCCAGCAGCAGCACCAGCAGCAGCGCCAGCCGCAACACCAGCCGCAACACCAGCGGCAGGCATGGGCATGCAGGTGGCGGTGTGTCTATTAGATGTACTATTCAGTGATCCTGACCTGGAGTTTGGTGCCTTTGCTGTTCTCTTTGACCCCCGCGGCTGCCAGCCTGACCGCGCTGCTGTGCTGCGGGTCAGGCTTAAAAGGGATGCCTTCTTGCCGAGGCTACCCGCTGTTGATGACGGCGGCGAAGGCTCTTCACACCCTGATGGCAGCACGCCAAGAGAGGGATCCAGCGAGGCACACAAGCGGAAGCGAATGGGGAAGTACACCCAGCAACGGATAGTATGGGCCCCGCCTCCACGTCCACCACCCACTACCGAGGCTGTTCCCGAGCCACCGAGCAATACACCGCCGAATGAGTCTGCACCGACGGAAAGTACGCCTGAGGCTGAGTATGAGGTGGCGTCTCATCGCTTTAGCACGGATTGGTCACGCCGTTTTGCATGGCTGCGACTTGTGCGCACTAAGACCGGTCGCCCTGCTATGAAGTGTCAGATATGTATGCAGCATGGTGATCCCTTCGCAAATACCGCATACGGACGAAGAGGAGAAGGTGGGCGTGACCTGCAGCTCGAGAGCATCCGTACGCACGTCGGATCACGCGCGCACAAGGCGGCTCTGAAGGCACAGGCTGATGCAGAGACTGCTACCGCGCGGTAAGCAACCATCAACCAATGGCAGACAACTGATCGTGCCACCAAACATCTCATCCGCACGCTGCACATTGCCTTATTTGTGTGCAAGGCGGATGCACCCATTGCACTGTTTGTTTCACTGTGCTGGTTCATGGCCAGGGAGGGTTTGCCAGACCTCCCTCCAGGCGGCGCTTACGGGTCGTACTACTCTGAGTAAGAAGTCGGGTCTCTATGTAACGTTGCACGTACCATTCAATGTATAACTGTACTAACTCGTGTCTTGTTCAATGGCAGGTACGGTTTCCACGAATTCCTTGCTGCTACGTCGAAGTATCTCCAGGACATGCAACTAGTGCATCTCCTGTCTTCTCCATTTGTGGGGATAAGTATCGATGAGAGTACTGACCGTGTACACGGCAAGCATCTCATTGTATACGCGAATTTCTTCAAAGGAACCGTTGTTGTGTCAGATTTGCTCACCATACTCACTATCGAGCGTGGTGATGCAGCTTCCTTGACCACGGTCTTGCTGCAGTACTTCCAGACAATCGGCCTTGATCTGCAGCGGATTTCGGGCATTGCCACTGACGGGGCGTCGGTGATGACAGGAGAGAAGACCGGCGTAGTCGTCCGCCTCCGTGCGCATGTGGAACATATGGTGGCCACGCATTGCATCGCGCATCGGTGAGTGGTTACTGGAAATCGCACCACCCATAATAATATTGCTTAACCTGCCTTAACGGTGCGTGTTGGTGCTTGGTTTTTATCCCCCCCTCATCCAGAGAGGCGCTGGCCGCGAAAGATGCGGCCGAGGCTGTTCCGGAGCTCGAAATGGTTGACAACGTCGTCTGGGCTGTGGCATCGCGTCTTAGCAAGTCAACCCTCTGGTACCAGCGGTTCATGAACTTGCAGTGGTTGCTCTGCCAAACAAACTTGGAGGCGCAAGGGATCCACGACGTTCGTTGGCTCTCACGCGGCGAGGCTGTGAAACGGTTGCTGGAGGTCTTGCCCGCGGTTGTCGTGCTGCTGGAAGAACATGGTCACCAGCTGTTTGAAGTGGTCACGTCTTTCAAGTTTCACTTCTTGCTGACGTTCCTTGCCGACATTCTCTTTGAGCTCAACCAGCTGAACACAAGGTTTCAGCAACGTCAGGTATGTAGCGGCATATTGTGTGCTTAATAATGTTTGCGTGCTATGCTTCCTATTCCGCACATTGCCCTCACTTGAGTCGGTTAATGCACGCTGCCACAGCTACATAAACTCTGCCTTATACCATGTCATGCATGGATTGACCCTTCCGTCAGGTGGATGTGACGTTGGTGGCGCTCCTGGTCGTCGAAACGACTAAGCGAATCGAGCATCGCTACATCACACCCCGCAAAACAGGACAGTTTGGCGAGGGTGTCGGAATGCAGCTCCCCCGTTTCTTGGCAGCGCATGCAAAGCCTGATGACCGTGAGGTCTCTGCAGAGGGAGTTGACTGTGACGGCAACCCGGTGACAAGCCTCTACACCCTTCACGAGCGGCCCCTAGAAGGACAAGAGACGGCAGGGGACGTGACTGCATGTGTCGAGCTCGCCATCAAGTACGCGAGGGAGGTCAACAAGCAGCTGAAAGGGCGCATGAAAGACCTAAAAAACTTGGAGGGGACGAAGCTCTTCAAGAGCAAGTGTTATCTGCAGGACGATGAGAAGCGCCATGCTGCATTCAGGTGCTGGCTAAGGCAGCTGGATGAACTCTACCGCCACAAACTTCCTGGTTAGCTGATGTTTGCCTTAATCACCACGGTATCTAGTTGTGCATTCAGTACCTGATGTGTACGTGTGCTTCTTTATATGTTGTATGTGTGTCATTTCCTAACCCGTTTTGATGTTGTTCGACAACTGTGTGGTTTCAACCCGTGGCAGGTTTCAACAACCTCAAATCGCAGTCCGAGCTGTGGATGTTCACATCCACAATGCACTCGCAACATCTGGATGAAGACTTCCAGCAAGCCCTCTCGCTCATTCTGGAAGACGACGCATGGCAAAGGAGCTACCCGAACATCGTCCGTCTCAGGCAAGCTGTGGCAGTGCTCCCGCTGAGCACGGTAGAATGCGAAAGAGGCTTCTTGAAGCAAAACCTTATCAAGACATGGGGCCGTGGCTGCCTTGTTGACAGCAGCTTGGGCCACTTGATGCGTTGTTCGCTGCTAGAGTACCCTATGGACTGGTTTGAGGTAGTGATTGTCTTTCGTGGCTAGAAGAACCGTCGCCAGCAACGTGACTTTCAAGGGACCGTTGCTGGCAGCACGGAGTTTGTGGAGGCTGAGGCTGCAGCTCCACCCGTTACCCATGGGGTGTGATGTTCTTGTAGGTGCAGGAGTAGTGTTAGGTTAAGTAGTCTTGTTTGTAGGATGGTGCTAGTGTCAGAATCAACTGTGCAGGAATGATTGACTAGCAAGCAAGGATGAGTACAAGTACTAGGTTTGACCTAAAGTGTTGTTCTCAGTAGAGGCTACCCCACTACATAAAGATATATATCAGTGTACAACAAGAGCAAGTCAAGCAACCAGCAGGTGAGGCAGAGTGGGCACAAGCCCAAGAGCAGTGCAGAAACGTTGATGATCACCAAACCCAAGGGCCTTGGTGAACACATCAGCAGTGTTGGCCCGCGAGGCCACGTAGGAAAGGCGGAGCTGACGACGCTGCTGCAGCTCACGCGCAAGGAAGTAGCGAAGAGCAATGTGCTTCGTTCTGTGCTTCACTCTCTGCTCGCGACACAAGGCAAGCATTGCCTTGTTTTCGACGTACAGATCTGGAGGAGAACAAGGCCGCTCCCCCAAGTCGGTCTGCAGGTAGGTCAGCCAGCGTAGCTCCTGTGCAGGCAGACGAAGGCACGGATCGCCTGAACGCGCATGTGCAAGTCAGCAACGCAAGCTACACTGTGGCTGCGAGGAGGAGCATCAAAAGCAATGGCACGATAGGAAGCAAGACCTTGAGCATGGGAGTGGGTTTGGGGGTGGGGATGGGGGTGGCGGGCAGTGGCGACACAGGCGGAGCGGTGGGTGCGAGCGTGCAGGTGGCGACACAGATCACGGTGCCGGGCGTGAGCGTCCCCGTCAGCTTCGATGCCCTCCGCTGCTTCACCCTTCCCTGTGCAGCGGCCAAGGCGGGGCGGGACGTGCAGGTGTGGTGGCACGGGCTCACGGGCGGCAGCAAGGGCGGCAGCAAGGGTGCGGCGAGCAAGCAGGTGCAGTTCTTTGCCAACCCCGCCTGCAAGGGCAAGGCGCTGGATGAGGTGCTCAAGCCGCAAGACGCCGGCCTGCGAAAGTTCTTCAACGTGCCCAGGTGGGTCGTGTCGTGGGGCTGGGGGCAGCTTTGAGACGTCTCAAAACTAAATTCTTCAACGTGCCCAGGTGGGTCGTGTCGTGGGGCTGGGGGCAGCTTTGAGATGTCTCAAAACTAAATTCTTCAACGTGCCCAGGTGGGTCGTGTCGTGGGGCTGGGGGCAGCCTGGCAGGTGGGGTCATGCGGGCAGGTGGGGTCATGCGGGTAGGTGGATGGGTGCTATCGGATTGTGCCTCTGTAAATTGTTTCTAACTTCTGATTTGATCTTGTTCTGAACTTCTAGTCTGAATGTGCTATTGACGTCCGTGCAGCAAGAAGAAGGTCGCGCGATGGACTTCTGTTGCTTGCCAGCCTAGTGTGTGCCTTACCTCCATGCCTCCTTGCCACCTTGCCATCATGCCACCTTGCCTCCTTGCCTCACATATCTCTTGCACCTCCTCTATAAAAACGAGCTTCTTGCATTCCTCTGCTTCTTTCAAACCATGCATGTTGTTTCATCGGCTGTGCTGCACGCATCTCTGCTGCTCTCCATACACGCCACACATCACCTGCGAGCATGCCAAGTGTCCGAGCAATTCCATGTGCGTGCCAAAGAATGACAGCCAGGGCGTCACCTGTGAATGCAACCAGGGCTTTGTTCCCGTCAATGGCACTTGCGTAGGTACGCTGCTTGTGCTACCTCCTCTCTTGTGCTCTCTCTTGTGCTTTTTGCCTCCCTTTCACCTGCAGTTTGCCCATTTTGTTCTTGAGGTTGATTTCCAACCATTGATTTTTTTTTGCTACTTTTGAATTGGAAGAATGGCATAGTTAAGAAATTGGTGCTGGATAGCAAGTTATCAACTTACTGGCATAACTTTATGACCAGCCTCAATCCAAAACACCCTTTTCTTGTGTCACTTGCATCACGGGGAGAAGGATACGCCCTGTTCTTGTAACGAGGGTTTTGAAATGATTGCCAATGGCACTTGTACGGGTGAGGTGTGTTGCTTTGAAAGCTAAAAGCATGCTCGGACTTTCATTCCCTTGCAGATTTGTGTGCTTTAGTCGAATGTGGGCCTGGTGGCAACTGCACGAAGGATGCAAACGGAAATCCATCCTGTAGTTGCAGCACTGGCTTTAAACTGTCTTCTGACAAGCTCTCTTGCGTTGGTGAGTTGGAGGAGTGCAACACAGAGGGTGTGCCTTGTGTTTTGGACCCAGCCCTTGAAACTTGACCTTCCTTCAACTCAAGTTTTGTGCTAGAGTTGCTGAAAGTGTGTGCGTGTTCAATACAGTGACCCTTGATTGTCAAGATCCGAGCATAATCTGTCGTTATAATATTCTTTATCGTGCCTGGATTTCTTTTCTGCAGACAACTGTGATGCAGTGAAGTGTGGGCCTGGAGGCAACTTTTGAGGCGCCTCAAAAGGCGCCTCAAAAGTCGCCTCAAAAGGCACCTCAAAACTGTGATGCGGTGAAGTGTGGGCCAGGCGGCAAATGCACGAGGGATGGAAATGGCGATCCATCCTGTAGTTGCAGCGCTGGCTTCACGCCGTCTTCTGACAAGCTCTCTTGCATTGGTTAGTTGAAGGAGTGCAACACAGAGGGCGTTCCTTACGTTTCAAAACCAATTCTTGAAACTTGTCCTTCCTTCAACTCATATTTTGTGGTTGGGTTATTGGAGTTGGCGCGTATTCTCAATGACCCTTGATTCTCAAGATCCGAGTTTTTTTTTTTTTTTTTTTTGGTACTGTCCTTCCTCTCGCCTTGGCTCTCTTTTCTGCAGACAATTGTGATGCGGTGAAGTGGGCCGGGCGGCAACTGCACGAGGGGTGCGAACGGAAATCCATCCTGTTCTTGCAGCGCTGGCTTCACACCGTCTTCTGACAAGCTCTCTTGCATTGGTGAGTTGGAGGGGTGCAATTCAGAGAGCATGCCTTACGTTTCAGACCCAATTCGTGAAACTCGGTCTCCTCTCACCTGAAACTTGTTGCAAGAGTTGATTAATCGCGTTTGTGACACTTGATATTCAAGATATCAGCTCAATTGTTTTTTTTTTTTCTATGATGATGATCCTTTGACTTACCTGGCTCTCTTTTTCGTAGACAACTGTGCTGTGGTGGATTGTGGGCCCAATGGCAAGTGTGTGTGGAAGGATAACGGTTTTGAGACGTCTCAAAACAAGTGTGTGTGGAAGGATAACGGGGACGCAACATGCGAGTGCGACTCGGGCTTTGGGATGCCTTCCGACCAACTGCGTTGCGTCGGTGAGTTGCTGTCGTCTCGCTTGCAGGATGGATATGCCATTGTAACGAGGTGACTTTTGAGTAGACTCAAAAGTCACCGCGCATGCAGGATAAATATATTTGCTGCAGCTCCATAGTTAAGCATGCATACTCCACCTGTATTTCTCTTTCCCTTTCGATCACCCCCGACCACCCCCCCTCCTCCCACCACCTCCATCCCCCCTTCCCCCCTCCCACCCCACCCCCCTCCCTTTTTTTTTGTTTTTGTTTTTTGTTTTGTTTTGTTTTTTTCCTCCTCCTTTTACCTTTTTCCCCTCTCTTTGACCCCATCCTTCTTTGCACTCACATCAGGCACGGCTTGCTCCGAGTTGGGTTGCGAACCGGATGGGGATTGTGTGAACACCGATGGAGTTCACTCTTGCAAATGGAGTAAGCATGGCCTTCAGCTTTCTCTACACCCAACCCAGCCCATCCGCACCGCGCTCATTCTCTACCATCTCCAATATCTCTTTCATTTGGTGCACTCTACTCCACATTTGAGTGAAGCGTGCGCATTTGCCAAGCTCATTTTGCCATCTCTCTTCCGCACCATGCGTCTGCCTTGCGCGCTGCTGTGTTCCCCACAGTCACCCTGTGGCACGTGTCCCACAGGCGCCACGTGCAAAACCGTCCATACAACCACTGCAGAAAAGGCTGATGTGCCATACTGCGAGTGCCTTGAGGGCTTTGGGATGACCCCAACAGAATGCATCCAGGGTAAGATACATACCGCCCTGTTTTACTTTCTCCATTGATGGCATCTCACCTCAAGCTGAGAGCATCTCACCCGAAAGTTCTTCAACCTGGAGTGTATATGTGGCCCCAACATGGGATCATATTTTGGATGACCAGCATCCCCAACATGCAGCAGTCAACTGTCAGAATGTTATGTTTTGTCTAGCCTGCAGTGGGGTACTCAATAGTGAGTACAGCCCAATTTAGGGTTTGCTATATGTACTCAACTGCTTGCTAGTGAAACCCCTCTTTCTTGTTTCTAACTTTCAACTGCTTTCTAACATGGAATCAGAGCAGGTCGACCCCCTCGGGTCGATCCTGTGTATGGGCCCCCATCAATGCTTCCGCTGCTGCTGTCCTGCCTATCGCGCGCCTCGGGCGCGCACTATCTTCCTTCCTGCCGCGCGCCCATGGCGCGCGGCCCTTTTTTCTTCCCGCCGCGCGCTTCTGCCCGTCGCGGCCCCTTTGTGGCCCCCGTCGCGGCCCCGTCGCGGCCCTGCCCCGGCCTCGCCCCGGCCCTGCCTCGTCGCCTGTCGCGACCCGTCGCGGCCTCGCCCCGGCCTCGCCCCGGACCTGCCCCGTCGCCCGTCGCGGCCCTGTCGCGGCCCCGACCCTGCCCCGACCCTGTCGCGGCCCTATCCCGGACCTGTCGCGGCCTCGCCCCGGCCCTGTCCTGGCCCTGCTTTGGCCCTACCCCGGCCCTGCCCCGGCCCTGCCCCGTCGCCCATTGCGACCCCGTCGCGGCGCCAATTGGGGCCCGCGTGGCCCCAATTCCCGTCGCCCAGGGCGCCGCGCGCGGCCCCCCCCAGGGTCGCCTCGACAGGCGACGGGAGGGGCTACTGAAGGGGGCCACGCGTCAGCCCCTCCTGTTTTCGTCGCGGCCCTGCCCCCCCCCCCCCCCGTACCCTCCCTACCCGCCATCTACGGCCCTGCCCTGTGTTAGGGTTTTGGGGTGGCGGGTGGGGGGTGGCGGGTGAGTGGCATCCCCTGCTCCTCCTCCTCCTCCGTCTCCCACTGCTGCAGCTGCCGCTGAGGGGGGTGGGTGTGTGGGAGCCGATGGAGTGGTGCTAGGGGGTGGAGTATGAGTAGTGCTAGAGGTGCAGCAGGGGGTGTGTGAAAGGGGGGTGAGGCAGTTAGAGGATGTTGGGCGGAGGCAGCTGTCGTGTCGCCAGCAGCGCCAGTAGTCCGGAGGCTACAATCTCCGGTAGCCCAGCGAGCCTGCTGCGCCAGTCGCCCGTGGGTCCGTTGCTCCTGCAGCTCAGAGTTAGTCGCGGAGCCAGTTACTCCAGTAGTCCCGAGGCTACAATCTCCGGTAGCCACAGTGCGCGCCGCTCCTGTTGCCCGTGTGTCTGCAGCTTAACCTGTCGTCTCCTATCTCTTCTCCTCTCACAGTTCCTCCTCCTCCTCACTTACCGTCTGTGACTGCCTCTAGCTTTACTTATATTTGTGCACTATAAACTGCTACTTCTTGTACTTGTGCTCAGAATGTGTGGTGACATTGTGATCCACCCTGAGCTTGTTTTGCTTTGCTTGTTGTGCTGATTACACCCCACTTTGGCTATGGGGGTGTGTCAGAATGTTATGTTTTGTCTAGCCTGCAGTGGGGTACTCAATAGTGAGTACAGCCCAATTTAGGGTTTGCTATATGTACTCAACTGCTTGCTAGTCAAACCCCTCTTTCTTGTTTCTAACTTTCAACTGCTTTCTAACATCAACTTGGACGCCGTGTCAGATTTTGCCTTCACCATCCTTTTCCATCCCGATTCATAACATCACGTTTCCCCGCGTCCTTGCTCCCCGTTTCCCCTTCTTCTTGTGCCATCCTTTCTCAGGTTCACCCAACAAAGTGCTTGCCATTAGTGTGACGTTCGTCCAGGATCGCAGTGCCAGAGGCAAGGCGTCCAAGCCCTACACCCTCCGCCTCAAATATGGCTGCACTCAGTTGCCGGAGGGGGTGGCTGGGAATTTCACAACGGCATACGAGCTGTTGAACATCGGTGGTGGTCCGAGTAAGTGGGTCTCGAGCAGTAAGTGG